TTTATTTATTAGTTTTATTAGTTATTAATAAATATTTTTTTTAATACCATTACAATTATCTGTTTTTATTTAATTATGTGTTTTAATTAATAAAGGGATTTTTATTCATTGAATATTAAAAAAATAATATGTTTATGTTTTGAAAATTTACTTGATGTCTTTTATTCTTTTTATATATAGTGAGTTTCTTTTTAGATAAGATGAACTTCATAGATTTAAAAAAATCAACTTCTTTTACTTTAAGAAATGGAATTTTACTCTATATTTATTTCAATGAATTGCTCTTTTTATATAAGTAATTGTTTCATATACTTTTATTATTGAACATTCAAATTCAAAAATTTTTGATTCTTTATCATCAAGAAGATATTTATATTGTTATGTTACACGTAATACGATTATTCTGTAAATTCTTTTATATAAATAACAAATCATGTTGGTATTTTTTTACTACCATAAAATTAAAATCTCTTTTAACAATTTCAATGAAAGTAAAACTACAATCGAATATATTTGAATGGCAATTTATATTTATAGAGAATCAAAACAACTAAAATTAAAAAGAATTTAAAAAACTTTTTGTTAATAAATATTTTAAGAAGAACAAACATAATGTTATATATATCAAAAAGAATCATAACTTTCAAAAGAAGAAGTTTTTTATTTGAGGAAAGTTATTTTAATTTTTCGATTTTTTTATTGTAGCAAAATATAATTAAAAAAGAATAAAAAAATAAACTTAAAAGAACTATAATAATTTATAACAAAGACGGTAGAATGTGTATACCCGACTTCATCTCATCTCATTAGTCATAAATAGAACACTTTTAGTGGAATAATAAAAAAAGTGTACATAAAATAAATTCGACAAAATAAATAACTGACTTGGTTAATGTTGACGCCTAAGAGGGTATTCTTAAACTACATAAAACTAAGAAAAGATATTGTATTATTTATTCAATGAATTCACTTCTTTCGTTGATAGTTACTCTTTGTCTTATTTTCACTCACGTAAATGCACTTGATTTTCATGATTTTGATCTTTTTGAAGATTCACAAAATTTTGAACAAGACATTGATTCATTCATTGAATTGTTTGACGATGATGAATCAATGGACCTTCTTCTTAATGATTTCTCATTAAGTTCAATTGGAAGTGCAATAGGAAGAGCCGTTGACAAAGGAACTAAATGGTTAGCAAAGAATGGAGAAGCTATTTCAAATACTCTCGGTAAGGTTGCAGATGTTGCAGGAACTGTTGGTAAAGTAGCTGGTACAGTTTCTAGTGTTGCAGGAAAAGTTGCATCATTTGTACCAATTCCACAAGTAAAAGCAGCAGCTGGAGCTATTGCAGCAGGTGCTAAAGCTGTACAAGGAGTATCAAAAGTAGTAGAAAAAGGGGCAAGAATAGGACAAAAAGTAGTAAATGTAGCAACGACTGCATCTAAGACGTATCAAGACATAAAGAATGGAAAGTCTAGTAGTTCGAGTAGTTCAAGTTCAAGTAGTTCTACAAGTTCGAGTTCTAAAGGAAGTAAATCTTCAAAAGGTGGAAATCCAGTTTCAAATTTCCTTAATAAGGCTAAAGGCATTAATAATAAAGTTCAAGGTATTGCTAAAAAGGCTGGTAAAGTTGGTAAAACAATTTCTAAAGTTGCAAACACTGTTAGTAAATATTCTGGCAAAGCAGGTAAACTTGGAAAGGCTATTAGTTCTGCTGCCAATAAAGCAAATAAAATTGGTAAGGCTATTAGTAAAACATCCAATACTGTTAGTAAAGCAAGTAAAAAAGTTAGTAAATTCTTGGGTGGTGGAAAGAAATCAAAAGGAGCTTCTAAAAAGTCTAAAGTTTCTAAACCTAAAAAAGCATCTAAGCCTAAAAAAGTATCTAAGCCTAAAAAAGTTTCAAAACCAAAGAAAGTATCTAAACCAGCAAAACCTGCTAAAAGTAGTTCCAAAAAATCTAAAAAGTAACAAAATAAAATATCTAGTCATTTCTGACAACTCTTTCATTTTTGAAGTTATAATTCAATTTTGTTTGTTCATTTTTTTATTATTTCTTTAAGTTAATTAAGAAATGAAGAATGTAAATCAGAAACACAA